TTTTTTTTTTTTTTGAAAATTTATTTCTGTTGCATACCGCATCGGATATCACTCCGAACTTGATATGTACTAACAATTCTTTAGCAAATTTAACTCGAATAGCAAAATTTAATTAATTTGGCTTCAATTTCTTTATAAATTTGAACTCAAAATAACATAAAAATCTCGATTTGGCAGTTTTTAAGTATGGTCTATGTACTCTATTTAATTAACTTAATACATATGATTTCAATTTTTTTTTTTACATATGTGATATTGAAATAATAAAAATATCTTCATTTGGTATTTTATTAATTATGGACTCTATTTAATTAAGTCATGAATGAACTATGAGTAGGGCTGCAATGAGTCGAGCCGCTCGCGAGCGCTCGAGTCAAAGCTCGGCTCGAGCTCGAGCGGCTCGAGCACGAACTCGAGTCGAGCTCGAGCCCATATTTTACATTGTCGAGCGGCTCGCGAGCGGCTCGAGATATATGAAATTACTAAAATATCTTTGTATATATATGTATTTAATGGTTATTTTACAAAATTGCTTGAAAAAATTCGAACCGAACTCGAGCCGAGCTCGAGCATTTTGAAATCGAGTCGAGCTCGAGCTCTTCTATTTTTTTATCGAGTCGAGCTCGAGCCTCATAAATCGAGCTCGACGAGCTCGAGCTCGAGCTCGAGCAGCTAAAAAAAAATTTAATCCTGCTCAATAAGGCCAATGCTCGACTTGACTCGGCTCGTTTGCAGCCCTAACTTTGAGTGCATTTTTTGAATATTTGTTTGCTATTCATGCATGTATCAAACTCTCATTTTTCAATATGTGTAACAATGTAAAGGTAACAAAATTGTCTATAATATATATTAATACATACTCATAAAAATTATTGTTAAATCAATCTGATAAATATTATTTATTAATCTGAGTTTTCATAACTCAAAATTGTGGAATAATATAACGTAATAACAATCTTATCATTTTGAACGTCTCAAACACTTAAAAAATCGTACAAAAATAACTCAAAATTTCAATTGTTAAATCTTTTTTATTATATATTTATCAAGTTGAACGTATGAATC